AAAAAGGGATTATTTACAAATCTAGTTCGAAGCGGAAATAATTGGAAAAATCTCCACTTTAAATCCTGTGTTTTAAATCAAACGTTTCTTTATAAAATTAGTTATTCAGCATGAAAAAAAAAAAAACAACCTTGTTGACTAATCCTCTTAGAGGCGGCAGTTTTTCTCTGTTGACGGAAGCTTTATTGTTTTGAAAATGCGCCTTCTTCTGAATGTCAAATGTATTCTCATATCTTTAGATGTGCTCTTGTTAGGAGTGTCTTTGGCATCACTCTCTTATCCTAGCTACATGCTGTGAGCAAAGTATTACACCACTTGCAAAAGTGAGTTGAGGGTCTTATGCATTAGCTCCTCTCTGGCAGACCAACCTGCTTCATGATGGAAATGCCGGGAAAGTCACAAACAATAACCGTGTGTTTGTTAAACTGCATTGCTATACCTTAATCAGTGACAGATAATGGCATTCATTTAAATAGAAATCATTCCAAATGTAAGCTTGTGAGTGTAAATATAAGAGAAGGAGAGTCAGTATTGTGATATCTGAAGGTCCGAGTTCATTTGTGACTTACATAAACGTCCAGGATCTCGTTTGTGGGCCCTTCAGCGAGGAAGGACTCCCCGGCGGTGCTTCTGATCTCGTTGGGCCGCCGGTATGTGAACATGGTTCCCGCTCCCTCATACTTCCCTGGCCGGTCGATCGCCCAGTTTCCATTAATGATGGATCGCCCCGATCGGCTGCGGAGAGCTGAGAGAAACAGAGATGGCAAAAGTAAACACCTGCTTTACTCAAGTAGAAGTACAGATACTCGTGTTTAAAAATACTCTGGTGAAAGTAGAAGTACTGACTAAACTTCTTTACTCAAGTAAAAGTAAAGAGGGCTTTGAAATGTACTTCAGTAAAGTACCCATAACTAGCAACTGTTTTAAAGAGTACCTGACCTCCCTAATTATAGAACAATAATGTCATTGTTAGCTAATGAATGTTTCCATGCTGAACAACGGCAACATGACAACGTTTCCATTGGTCCTCTTCTTTAGAGAAGACCAGGAAATGATGGATACACGGATCGTGTTCAAATCAATAGGCACGCAATGACTCTAAAGAATAATGATCACGCATAACACACATCAGACTAAAGGAACCAGCTGTTTGGAAGATGTGAGAAGTAGAAAGTACAGGTATGTGTCAAAGTAAGAAGTAGAAAGAAGGTATTTGTGTCAACAGTAAGAAGTAGAAAGTACAGGTATTTGAGTTCAACATGTAAGAAGTAGAAAGTACAGGTATTTGTGTTCAACATGTAAGAAGTAGAAAGTACAGGTATTTGGTTCAACATGTAAGAAGTAGAAAGTACAGGTATTTGTGTTCAACATGTAAGAAGTAGAAAGTAAGGTATTTGGGTTCAACATGTAAGAAGTAGAAAGTACAGGTATTTGTGTTCAACATGTAAGAAGTAGAAAGTACAGGTATTTGGTTCAACATGTAAGAAGTAGAAAGTACAGGTATTTGAGTTCAAAATGTAAGAAGTAGAAAGTACAGGTATTTGGGTTCAACATGTAAGAAGTAGAAAGTACAGGTATTTGGTTCAACATGTAAGAAGTAGAAAGTACAGGTATTTGAGTTCAACATGTAAGAAGTAGAAAGTACAGGTATTTGTTTCAACATGTAGAAGTAGAAAGTACAGGTATTTGGGTTCAACATGTAAGAAGTAGAAAGTACAGGTATTTGGTTCAACATGTAAGAAGTAGAAAGTACAAGTATTTGTGTTCAACATGTAAGAAGTAGAAAGTACAGGTATTTGGTTTCAACATGTAAGAAGTAGAAAGTACAAGTATTTGTGTTCAACATGTAAGAAAGTAGAAAGTACAGGTATTTGAGTTCAACATGTAAGAAGTAGAAAGTACAGGTATTTGTGTTCAACATGTAAGAAGTAAGAAGTAGAAAGTACAGGTATTTGTGTTCAACATGTAAGAAGTAGAAAGTACAGGTATTTGAGTTCAACATGTAAGAATAGAAGAAGTAAGTACAGGTATTTGTGTTCAACATGTAAGAAGTAGAAAGTACAGGTATTTGTGTTCAAAATGTAAGAAGTAGAAAGTACAGGTATTTGGTTCAACATGTAAGAAGTAGAAAGTACAGGTATTTGAGTTCAACATGTAAGAAGTAGAAAGTACAGGTATTTGTGTTCAACATGTAAGAAGTAGAAAGTACAGGTATTTGTGTTCAAATGTAAGAAGTAGAAAGTACAGGTATTGGGTTCAACATGTAAGAAGTAGAAAGTACAGGTATTTGTGTTCAACATGTAAGAAGTAGAAAGTACAAGTATTTGAGTTCAACATGTAAGAAGTAGAAAGTACAGGTATTTGGGTTCAACATGTAAGAAGTAGAAAGTACAGGTATTTGAGTTCAACATGTAAGAAGTAGAAAGTACAGGTATTTGTGTTCAAAATGTAAGAAGTAGAAAGTACAGGTATTTGTGTTCAACATGTGAGAAGTAGAAAGTACAGGTATTTGGGTTCAACATGTAAGAAGTAGAAAGTACAGGTATTTGTGTTCAACATGTAAGAAGTAGAAAGTACAGGTTTTGAGTTCAACATGTAAGAAGTAGAAAGTACAGGTATTTGTGTTCAACATGTGAGAAGTAGAAAGTACAGGTATTTGTGTTCAACATGTGAGAAGTAGAAAGTACAGGTATTTGTGTTCAAAATGAGAGAAGTAGAAAGTACAGGTATTTGTGTTCAACATGTAAGAAGTAGAAAGTACAGGTATTTGTGTTCAACATGTAAGAAGTAGAAGTAGAAAGTACAGGTATTTGGGTTCAACATGTAAGAAGTAGAAAGTACAGGTATTTGTGTTCAAAATGAGAAGTAGAAAGTACAGGTATTTGTGTTCAAAATGTAGAGAAGTAGAAAGTACAGGTATTTGTGTTCAACATGTAAGAAGTAGAAAGTACAGGTATTTGTGTTCAACATGTAAGAGTAGAAAGTACAGGTATTTGTGTTCAACATGTAAGAAGTAGAAAGTACAGGTATTTGTGTTCAACATGTAAGAAGTAGAAAGTACAGGTATTTGAGTTCAAACATGTAAGAAGTAGAAAGTACAGGTATTTGTGTTCAAACATGTAAGAAGTAGAAAGTACAGGTATTTGTGTTCAACATGTAGAAGTAGAAAGTACAGGTATTTGTGTTCAAAATGTAAGAAGTAGAAAGTACAGGTATTTGAGTTCAACATGTAAGAAGTAGAAAGTACAGGTATTTGGTTCAACATGTAAGAGTAGAAAGTACAGGTATTTGAGTTCAACATGTAAGAAGTAGAAAGTACAGGTATTTGAGTTCAACATGTAAGAAGTAGAAAGTACAGGTATTTGAGTTCAACATGTAAGAAGTAGAAAGTACAGGTATTTGAGTTCAACATGTAAGAACACAAAGTACAGGTATTTGAGTTCAACATGTAAGAAGTAAAGAAAGTACAGGTATTTGAGTTCAACATGTAAGAAGTAGAAAGTACAGGTATTTGTGTTCAACATGTAAGAAGTAGAAAGTACAGGTATTTTGTTCAACATGTAAGAAGTAGAAAGTACAGGTATTTGGTTCAACATGTAAGAAGTAGAAAGTACAGGTATTTGGGTTCAAATGTAAGAAGTAGAAAGTACAGGTATTTGTGTTCAAATGTAAGAAGTAGAAAGTACAGGTATTTGTGTTCAACATGTAAGAAGTAGAAAGTACAGGTATTTGTGTTCAACATGTAAGAAGTAGAAAGTACAGGTATTTGGGTTCAACATGTAAGAAGTAGAAAGTACAGGTATTTGATATTCAAATGTAAGAAGTAGAAGTAGAAAGTACAGGTATTTGGTTCAACATGTAAGAAGTAGAAAGTACAGGTATTTGGGTTCAACATGTAAGAAGTAGAAGTACAGGTATTTGAGTTCAACATGTAAGAAGTAGAAAGTACAGGTATTTGTGTTCAACATGTAAGAAGTAGAAAGTACAGGTATTTGGGTGTTCAACATGTAAGAAGTAGAAAGTACAGGTATTTGTGTTCAAATGTAAGAAGTAGAAAGTACAGGTATTTGTGTTCAAAATGTAAGAAGTAGAAAGTACAGGTATTTGTGTTCAACATGTGAGAAGTAGAAAGTACAGGTATTTGGGTTCAACATGTAAGAAGTAGAAAGTACAGGTATTTGTGTTCAAAATGTAAGAAGTAGAAAGTACAGGTATTTGTGTTCAACATGTAAGAAATAGAAAGTACAGGTATTTGGGTTCAACATGTAAGAAGTAGAAAGTACAGGTATTTGTGTTCAACATGTGAGAAGTAGAAAGTACAGGTATTTGTGTTCAAAATGAGAGAAGTAGAAAGTACAGGTATTTGTGTTCAACATGTAAGAAGTAGAAAGTACAGGTATTTGTGTTCAACATGTAAGAAGTAGAAAGTACAGGTATTTGAGTTCAACATGTAAGAAGTAGAAAGTACAGGTATTTGGGTTCAACATGTAAGAAGTAGAAAGTACAGGTATTTGTGTTCAACATGTAAGAAGTAGAAAGTACAGGTATTTGTGTTCAACATGTAAGAAGTAGAAAGTACAGGTATTTGTGTTCAACATGTAAGAAGTAGAAAGTACAGGTATTTGAGTTCAACATGTAAGAAGTAGAAAGTACAGGTATTTGTGTTCAACATGTAAGAAGTAGAAAGTACAGGTATTTGTGTTCAACATGTAAGAAGTAGAAAGTACAGGTATTTTGTTCAAAGTGTAAGAAGTAGAAAGTACAGGTATTTGTGTTCAACATGTAAGAAGTAGAAAGTACAGGTTGTGTTCAACATGTAAGAAGTAGAAAGTACAGGTATTTGTGTTCAACATGTAAGAAGTAGAAAGTACAGGTATTTGAGTTCAACATGTAAGAAGTAGAAAGTACAGGTTGTGTTCAACATGTAAGAAGTAGAAAGTACAGGTATTTGGTTCAACATGTAAGAAGTAGAAAGTACAGGTATTTGTGTTCAAATGTAAGAAGTAGAAAGTACAGGTATTGTGTTCAAAATGTAAGAAGTAGAAAGTACAGGTATTTGTGTTCAACATGTAAGAAGTAGAAAGTACAGGTATTGTGTGTTCAACATGTAAGAAGTAGAAAGTACAGGTATTTGGTTCAACATGTAAGAAGTAGAAAGTACAGGTATTTGTGTTCAAATGTAAGAAGTAGAAAGTACAGGTATTTGGTGTTCAACATGTAAGAAGTAGAAAGTACAGGTATTTGTGTTCAACATGTAAGAAGTAGAAAGTACAGGTATTTGTGTTCAACATGTAAGAAGTAGAAAGTACAGGTATTTGAGTTCAACATGTAAGAAGTAGAAAGTACAGGTATTTGGGTTCAACATGTAAGAAGTAGAAAGTACAGGTATTTGCTTCAACATGTAAGAAGTAGAAAGTACAGGTATTTGTGTTAAACATGTAAGAAAGTAGAAAGTACAGGTATTTGAGTTCAACATGTAAGAAGTAGAAAGTACAGGTATTTGTGTTCAACATGTAAGAAGTAGAAAGTACAGGTATTTGGTTCAACATGTAAGAAAGTAGAAAGTACAGGTATTTGTGTTCAACATGTAAGAAGTAGAAAGTACAGGTATTTGTGTTCAAATGTAAGAAGTAGAAAGTACAGGTATTTGTGTTCAACATGTAAGAAGTAGAAAGTACAGGTATTTGTGTTCAAATGTAAGAAGTAGAAAGTACAGGTATTTGTGTTCAACATGTAAGAAGTAGA